GTCCAGATCACACCGGCCAGAGGAACTGCCCTCGACTCTGCTTCAATCAAAGCGACCCACTGATCCCGGGGGGCGGTGGCAGTGGTGGTGGGGAGAAGCAAGGAGAGCCAGAGTGCTGCCGCATTTGTGCCTCCCCGCCCGCCCTCGCGCTGCCCCGACATTTCCACAAGTGTTTTGTGAAGGGTTAATCCCCTCTTCAAACAAGCTGCCTCAAAACTCTCCCTGGGAAAAGATTTGACATTCCCCAAGGCTGGCTCCGGGTTTCCCAGAGACGGGCAGCCTTGGCCATCTTCTGGGCCCAGGGGAGATAATAACAAGAGTGGATGCAGCTGTGTGACATGGATGGGAATCGGTGGAGCCCGTCACAAAGAGTGCTGGACCACCCCTAATGAGAGAGAGAGAGAGAGAGAGAGAGAGAGAGAGAGAGAGAGCTCTGGAACACTGCCGGGGCGGTCTTTGGATTCAGCAACATTTGCCAGCTAGGAGCAGCTCTTGATGGGAATCCGACTCCCAGATCTCCCTTCTCATCATTTACAGGAAGAGAAGGGAAGTTGCTCAAACCGACCAAAGCAGGCCAGAGGAAGATAAGAGCTGCAGCCAGGGCTGGCGTCGACGGTAGGAATGGTTGGGCACCTGCCAAGGGTCCACCTCCCAGATGGGGTCCCACAGAGAAAGGCCACCTGAACCGGCTGCTCCTCTCTGCCACTGCAGCCTCTGCGGTCACTTGCCTCTCCTTCTGGCCCAGAGGGGATGGAGGAGCCAACACAGTGGGGGTGAGAAGCAGCGGCTCTGGCTCAGGGCCAGGTAGAGATCTTTCGAGGCCCTCGGTGCCCCGCTCCCCAATGTGTAATTTAAAAAACCCACAAAAACACAATACTAAACCGTAAAATGCAAAAATTATCTTTCGAAATGACACAAAGCAGACATGTATGGTGGAATCAAAATAGCTTCTTTGCAGATTTTCAGATTGCAAAATTCTGGGTAAGTTTGAGCTGACTCAACAAAGCTTGTCAGCTGCCATACACAGTAGGGAAAGTGAGCCAAGTCTGTCCCCACAGAGGTCATATATATATATATTCAACATACATTGGTACCTCGGTTCTCGAACGTAATCTATTCCGGAAGACCGTTCAAGTTCCAAAACGTTTGAAAACCAAGGCGGAAAGCGCTGTCTGCAAATTCAATTGAAAAAATTGAAAAACACGCAGCGGAAGCCGTTCAACTTCCGAGGCGCGTTCAAAAATGGAAGGATTTACTTCCAGGTTTTCAGTGTTTGGGTTCTGCAACAGAGATGTTCAAGAACCGAAGAACCACTGTATCAATAACAAAACATGAATTTATTGCCATACATGACAAGGTCTGATTTCCTCACATTATTTCAATCTATGTTAGTAGCACTTCCTCTGGTTTCAGTGGGATAAGTAATGAGAAGAGAACTGAGAAAATGAGGGTGGAATGTGGAGTGCAAGGAAATCAAACAAAGTTCTGACTTTTCCTACGATTACTTCACTTTTTTTTCCTGAAATATAAAATTCTTTCTGGTGAAAATTCTCTCTTTTTTTTCTTTTGTTGTGTTTGCACCACTGTGACATCTCCCCCCCCCCATTTCCCATAGATAGCTTGAAGATCACTGAGAGTCTTGTAAAATGATTAGATCTGCTGTGCTAGATGCTGTAATGATTTTAAATTGCATTTTTATTGTTCCTTTTCATCCTTATATATTGTATTTTATTGAATTATGGTCTGAATTCTATAGAACAATCTGAAAAACAAAAGAAACTTTAAAACATGCAGTTCAAAATCAACGTGAATATTGAATGCAAATGATGTGCCATCTCCCATCTTCAACCATATTCCAGTCATACAGTAGAGTACCTCACCGAAGCCCATGGACCAGAGTTTGATCCTTTCCCAATGGTTGGTTGGTTTGTTAGTTTATACCCTGCCTTTTCGCCCTGATTGGACTCAAGGCAGCTTACAGAAGAGAAAGAACTGCTAAAAACATAAGGAAAAACATTATTAAAAAGCAATTAAGCATTGATAAACTTAAAACTCTCTCTCTCTCCCCCCTCTGTGTTTAATCTATTAAAAACATACAAATAATTACAATAAAACAGCATGGCAACAGCCCTTTCATTAAAAGCAGTCAGTTCCCCAAAGTCTGTTGAAGCCTGAGAAGAAAGTCTTCACCTGCTGCTAGAAGGACAACAAGCACAGAACCACATGCATGGAGCATGAGACTCTTAATCTCAGGGTTGTGAGTTTGAGTCCCACATTGGGCAAAAGATTCCTGCAGTGCAGGGGGGTTGGGCTTGATGACCCCCATGGTCCCAACTCTACGGTTCTATGATACAGAAGCAAGGACCAGTCTTGTATCTCTAGGGAGTTCCAAAGTCTGGGAGCAGCCACTGAGAAGGCCCTCTCCTGCGTCACTACCACGTATGCCTGTGAGGGTGGTGGAACCAAGAGAAGGGCTTCCCCTGAAGATCTCAGAGCCTGGGTAGAAGGAATACAGCTTTTCAGATAGCCTGGACCTAAGCCATGTAGGGCTTTGTAGGTCATAGCCAGCCCAGAAACAGACTAGAAGCCAGTGGAGCTGTTATAACCAAGGAGTACTATAACCAGCCTTGGTCAACAATCTGGCTTCAGCCCTTTGAGCCAGCCAAAGTTCCTGAGCCCTTTTCAAAGGCAGCTCCACGCGGAGAGCATTACAGTAATCCAAACTGGATGCAACTTAAGGCATGTGTCAATGAGGTTAAGTGATGTCTGTTTTAACTTTTTATGGCTTTATTGAATGGTTTTATGGTTTCATAGAATCATAGAATCATAGAGTTGGAAGAGACCACAAGGGCCATTGAGTCCAACCCCCTGCCAAGCAGGAAACACCATCAGAGCATTCCTGACATTTCATTGCTGTAAAGTGCTTTGATATACATTTTTATGGCACAGCGGCATACAACTATTTTTATAAATAAAATACAGTCTAACGGGGGAACCTGCAAGAAATGACCGAAGGCCAGGCCTTACGCTGTTGACAGTGGAACCCAGGACCATGGAACGACGCAACAGAAGTCAATAACGTGACTGTTGTTTCCTGGTTCTGTTTGAATGAAGCTGTCAAATATTATCCTACTGGCACGCCCATTATTTTCTGTCTTTGAAATCATCCGGACTCTTTGGGTCTGCTTCTTCTCGGGCCTCCGCTGGCAGATATCCACCCATGTTTGCCTTGCCTTTCCTGCTTTGTACCAGCCTGACCAGAAAGGGGACTGGGGCCCTTTTGTTCCTCCTTGAGATTTATGATCCTTCACTAAGCCCTTCCCGTCTTCTCCTCTGTCACCACTCTTGATGACTGAACCACCTGCCTATCTCAGCTTCCTTGTCCTCAATGCCTTGACTTCAGGAGGAAGCCCATTAGCAAACAAGAGAGATACCTGAGACAATGGGACTGGGATAAAAATAAAAAGCTTGATAAAACCTGGTGGCAAACTGTTTCCCTGAGCCTCTACCTGTTGTAATGCAAACACTCCCTGGCACCAGGAATGTTTGCCTGTCTGAGTGACTGGTAACAGGATGAGCCTGAAGTGGAACAGCTTTTGAGCTAGTTTGCACTTGGCTTAAAGGTATTATTGGTCACCAAAGGAGACTGTTGTGGTGGTACTGCGCCCCTGAGAGGCAGTAGGATTACCTAGAGGGGTGCTAAGACGTAAGGGGGTGGCAGTGGGGGAGAGCGCTGGAGGTGTAGATGACCATCAGGCTTTGAAAAGCTGGTACCACTGGAACAAGTTCACCAGCATTTTTGAATTAAACGAAATAGTTTGAAATGGAATTTGAATAAATTGCTACTGTTTTGAATTCTATTGTGTTATTATGTTCCTTAGTGGGCTGTGCAAACCACTATTCTGAATATATATATATATTTTAATAGGGTAGAGTAGAGGGTGCTAGGAATAAGTTCATGGAACCAAGAAGGCAGTGGTTCAAAAAAGTTTGGGAATCACTGCTCTACAATTCTTAGAGAAGAAAGGCACACTTTAAATCCTCTGGATGACCTGCTTATTTAGCATTCATCCCCATTTCCTTGCACAGTGCTCACACTGACGTTTGCTTATAAATAGTCTTTACCAAGCATTTGTTCTGACTTGTTCGTGAGGAGGTTATACGACAGCGAGCGTTTGGCGTGATTTCCTTGCAGAGTGTTTATAGGTCATCCCGTGAATCATTTGTTCATTGTTCACTTTTCAGTGCATTCCCTGGTCCTTTCCAGACTGCAAAAAGTCCGTTTTTTAGAATGGGTATGTTGTCCTACTAGCGGTGATGACTATGTTCTACCTACGTTGTCAGAGGCAGTGGTGCTTCTGGAAACCAGTTTCTGGAAACCAAAGGGTGGGGAGAATGTTCTTGTGCTCAGGTCCTGCTTCTGGGCTTCCCATGGGCATCTGGTTGGCCTCTGAGAACAGGATGCGGAACTCGTTGGGCCATGGGCCTGGTTCAGCAGCGTTCTTCTAGTCTTAAGGCAATGGCCCAGTCCTCAACAAGGTGCAAAACCTTGGTCTGTACTATGCAAAATTGTAGCTGGGAACTCCCATGGTGGAATGCTCTCTCTCTCTCTCTCTCTCTCTCTCTCTCTCTCACACACACACACACACACTTCCTTATTATTTTCATTATCTATTCATCATCATATACAGTGGTACCTCAGGTTAAGAACTTAATTCATTCTGGAGGTCTGTTCTTAACCTGAAACTGTTCTTAACCTGAGGTACCACTTTAGCTAATGGGGCTAAATGTGCGATTTCTGTTCTCATCCTGAAGCAAAGTTCTTAACCTGAAGCGTCTGTAACCCGAGGTACTGCTGTAACAAGGTTGCTCTCTGGGCAACTCACAGAATAAAAAAAAATTGAAAAACACAACCATACAATACAATACAATACAATACAATACAATGCAGTAAATACATTACTTTTTTTTTCTTCCAAAAAAACTAGTAGCAGCCATTAGCTCTGGGATAGCTCAGATGGTAGAGCACGAGACTCTTAATCTCACGGTTGTTGTGGGTTCAAGCCCCACGTTGGGCAAAAGATTCCTGCATTGCAGAAGGTTCTCAACTTGTGAGTCCACAGATGTTGTTGGACTACAACTCCCATCATCCCTGAGCTCTGGCCTTGCTAGTTACGGGTGATGGGAGTTTTAGATCAACAACATCTGGGGACCCACAGGTTAAGAAAGGCTGGGTCACTAGATGATCCTAGTGGTCCTTCCAACTCTATGTTTATGTGATCATTTTGTTTCCCACGGTGCCCCAGAGCGATGCTATGTTAGCAATGCCCCATTATCAAAGTTCAGTGAGAGATTATGGCCAGGCAAAAACATTGGGGGTGCAAAACAGGGCCGGGGAGGGGTGCTGTGACCAGGGGAGAGTTCTGAGGGCTATATAGGGAGGCCTGAAGAGCCACATATGACCCTCTGGGCATGACATCCTCCCCCCAACTCTAGATCAGTGTTTCCCAAACTTGGGTCTCCAAATGTTTCTGGACTACAGTTCCCATCATCCCTGACCACTGGTCCTGCTAGTTTGGGATGATGGGATTTGTAGTCCAACAACAGCTGGAGACCCTGATCTAGATTATGGGAACTGCCTTTTCCCTTGGAATTATGGGAGAGGAAGCAGAACACCACAGTCGTATCTCCCCATTTTCTTGGGGGGCGGTGAGGAGATCAGTGTCCTAAATAATGTATAAAATAATATAAAGGCGTCCCTGCATTTTCCAGGGATGTCCCTGATTTGCGCCTTTCTATTTTTATTTTATTTTTATTTTTTTGTTAAAAAAGCTTCTCTCTGTGTCCCTTATTCTCCTTCGTAAGTCCATGGCTCAGCAGCTGCCCTTCAAATCAGTTTGAATTCTTTGGAATTTGCTCACAGCTGTGTCTAGATAGAGACCATTGTAATGACCATGGAGGTCACAGTGAAGAGGGTCTTCTTCACTCAGCTGCCTTGCCTGCTCAGATGCAAGCCAAGGAGCAGGACTGGGAGAAATAGCATGACTAGTCCAAAAGCACAATGGTTGCATTAGCCTGGTCTGGACAGTGCAAGACTCTGTATCACTCAGCCATCGTTTTATTTAGTGTGAAGCAACCAGCCATCTCCTTCCCTAATACTGCACCATTGTGTCCCTTGATTCAAGGTCAGTCTTCTCTGATCCCAGCCCCTTTTGACAGCTTTTGTTCCTCATTTGTAGAGTCAAAGTTTGAGAGTCATGAAGCACAGGCAAGGGAGCGCACTGTGTTGTTGCTTGCAGGGAGGTTACTTGTTGCTTGCAGGGAGACTACTCCAAAAACAAACTAGGCAATGCAAAAACTGCAAGCAGATTCTCAGGGCTTTCTCAGAACATTGTTGTTGTTGTTGTTGTTGTTATATTTGTACCCTGCCCATCTGACTGGGTTGCCCCAGCCACTCTGGGTGCCTTCCAACATGTTTTTTTGTTTGACTTATTAGTTACTTAAAGTAAAGGGACCCCTGACCATTAGGTCCAGTCGTGGCTGACTCTGGGGTTGCAGCGCTCATCTCGCTTTACTGGCCGAGAGAGCTTTCGCGTCATGTGGCCAGCATGACTAAGCCACTTCTGGCGAACCAGAGCAGCGCACGGAAATGCCGTTTACCTTCCCACCAGAGTGGTACCTATCTATCTACTTGCACTTTGTGCTTTCGAACTGCTAGGTTGGCAGGATCAGGGACCGAGCAACAGGAGCTCACCCTATTGCGGGGATTCAAACTGCCGACCTTCTGATCAGCAAGTCCTAGGCTCTGTGGTTTAACCCACAGCACCACCCGTGTCCCAGTTACTTACTACAGTACTGCCAAAAAATATGTCTAGGAGAAGAAGAAGAAGAAGAAGAAGAAGAAGAAGAGGAGTTTGGATTTGACATCCCGCCTTTCACTCCCTTTAAGGAGTCTCAAAGCGGCTAACATTCTCTTTCCCCTTCCTCCCCCACAACAAACACTCTGTGAGGTGAGTGGGGCTGAGAGACTTCAAAGAAGTGTGACTGGCCCAAGGTCACCCAGCAGCTGCATGTGGAGGAGCGGAGACGCAAACCCGGTTCCCCAGATTACGAGACTACCGCTCTTAACCACTACACCACACTGGCTCTCCAATCCAAAGAACAATCCAAACCACCCTGGGGTATGTGTGTGGTTTGTGCAGAGGTGTTCTTCCTGCCGGCTGCCTCTTAATAGGCCATCCATACCTCCTCAGACTACTGAATTTAGGGAAGAGAAAGGGTAGGACGGCAGTAGTTCGAGGAGGAGAAGCCTTCATGGATGAGGGGGTTAACAGTCTGCATTAAGCTGAGATATGAACAGGCCCAGAATGACACAAATGACTGCCCACTAAACATGCAGGCGTGGGCAGTGGTACTGGTGCCCGCTGGGGCAGGTAAAGCAGAAAGCAGGGAGCTGGACAGGAGTCAATGACAGGCAGGGCCTATCCTCCTCCCTGCTGAGTTCTGCCAGGGCAAACCTGAGGGGGAACTCAACTGTTGTTAAGCCACCCATTGTTACCGTAAGTAAGAAGGCAGGCATGCAGGGTTGGTTGAGGGCAGATTGAGGTTCATGGGGCAATGCACTGTTCACCCTAGCAGACCAGCGTCCTCTGGGCATGTGGAAATGCTGCTGGTGGGTTTCCTATGCCCACTGATCAGCAAAAAGCCCCAGAATGGGGCATTCAAGAGGAGAAGGTGGGAAAAGAGGCCGAGCCAGGCCAGGATCCACTGGATCCCAAACCTCTTGCACTGCTCTCATGGGACAGCCTCACCCTGTCCTAGCTGGGTCCTTGATTGCAGGGGACAGGAACACTCCAGATAACTAAGACTACCATGGGCACAGACAGCAGCAAAGTCAAAGGCCAGGCAAGGGTCGCACAAGAAAGTCCCTATTTTCCTCCGAGAGAGGTTGGGATGGATGAAATTGGGAGCAAATAATGCACTCTCTTTATTTAGTAACTACAGGGCATCCAGGCAGCGCTCTGCTCCCAGCACACTCCTTGCGGGGAAGAGTTTCTTCTAACACAAAGCGGCGATATTGTTGTAAAATTTGAAGTTTTGGGCCAGGAGAAAGCTTAGTCATTTATTTGCAGAAGTATTTGCCTAACATCAGGGTGATGTACCAACAACAGAAAAACAATTAAAGCAATACCAAGCAATCATGATAATGACTGGCTACTCAAGAGAGATTTTAACCAATTGCATAGGCCTTAATTGGTACCCAGCACCTCCTGGAACAGGGAGTGGGATAGACACTTCCTGCCACCCCAGCTAATCTAGGTATCTGTGTGTGAAGCAAAAACTGCAGTTAGACTCTGGAACTTTAAGAGCATCTTAGGAAACTGCCTGCAGAGCTCAGACACAGGATCAATGGGTCTTGGCTATGTGTTGGGTTTAAACTCCACCTGTGCTCAGCCTGCATATTTATAAATTTTGCAAAGAATTTATTTATTGAGTTACTCTTTGCATTTGCTACCTCCCAACAGAAGTCGGCCAGGTGGTGAACCATAATTAAACCTAGAACAAAATGAAAACATAACATAGGTAACAATAAACATATTTGACACTGAAATCCCAGAACCAGCACAGAAACTTAAAATAGAATAACACCAATGCATGCCAATAAGGCTGCAGTCCTAGCCATGTCTACTCAGGGGTAAGTCAATAGGATTTACTCCCAAGTGAGTGGAGTCAAGATTGCAGTCTTAGCCCAGGCTTCCTCAACCTCAGCCCTCCAGAAGTTTTAAGACTACAATTCCCATCATCCCTGACCACTGGTCCTGCTAGCTAGGGACCATGGGAATTGTAGGCCAAAAACATCTGGAGGGCCAAGGTTAAGGAAGCCTGTCTTAGCCTCTAGCAACCTCCTTCCAAAGGAAATCAAACCTGGACAAGAATTTCTCACTGCCCAGAGAAGTGGGATAAGGTAATATCTTGTTCTGGGAAAATTATCTATTCTTTCCTCTCCACACAGTGTTACAAAAATAAAAGCTACTGTACTGTCATATTTAGATTATCACCACTATTAGACCACAGTGGTCTACTGAAGTTTGTTTTTAATTATTTTGGTTTTAACTTGCTTTTAACTTGTTACGACTTTTACTGTTTGGTTTTATATTGCTGTAAACCACCGTGATATATATTTTATGGCACAGCGGTAGAGAAATATTTTCATAAATAAATGAAATAAATTGGTTAGCACCACTGGCTGCCAATTAGCTAGCGGGCTCAGTTCAAGGTTCTGATTCTGGTGTATGAAGCCCTATACAGCTTGAGACCAAGGTACGTAAAGGATCGTCTGACCACTTGCACACCTCGTCGGTCGCTGTACCTTGAGGGAGAGAGCCCTCAGATCAGGAGGTCCATTCAGCACCATATAGGAATTGGGCCTTTAGTGCTGTCCTTTGGAACTCCACCCCCCCTTGAATCTCTGCATTGTGGGGGGTTGGGTTGTGGGGTCCCTTCCACAGAACTCTACAGTTCTGTGTTTCTATGCAGTGCTTTTTTTCTGGGGGGATGCAGGGGCCCGCATACCCCTAAACATTTTGTGAATCTAAGTTTGGCCTCCTTGAGGGACCGTATATCAATATGAGTAGGAAAATGAGAGTACCCCTTAACATTTTTTAAAGGCAAAAAGCACCGATTCTAGGTACACTTGGGTTGCAAACACACTGCAAACACTTACTGGATGGTGCTAGCTGGACGGTGAGCACAACTGACAGTTTTCTGCAGGACCGTGCCGGACGTTTATCCAGTGTTTCCCCACCACCACCATTCTCAATAAATTAGTGAGAAAATAATTTACATACGAAAAAATCAAAAGTGTTGTTACCATTTTGTTGTTGTTGTCCTCATGGTTGTTATCTGGGCTTTCATCATGGTAGCCTTGCTTTTGAGGTGGCCAAGGGCTGTCTGCAAATATTCCTTTCATTCCAGGTCCAGTGCAAGAAGACATTTTGGCACCTGAGGCAAACTGCAAAATGGCGTCCCCCTGCCACTGCCAGGGAAGAAGGGGTGAGTGAACTTCCCTTTCGGTCGA